GGGGGGGTGATGTGAAGATGCTAGATACTTATCAAGATCTCAGCTCGTGGGGCCAGATTCATGCACGCTACAGCTACGGTCCGCCATGATCGACTGCTAGAGGCCCAGGAGACCCTGGCTAACGAGAAGGTGGTCCAGCCAGCCAGCCAGCCAGCCAGCCTTCTGGGCCTGGGAGGATTTATTTTATCGAGTGAGATATGCACAGCAGTTGCAGAGCGCCGAACTATCGACCAATGTGAATGTCACACCGGCTGGTCAACTGGCCCCAAGCAGTGCTGACTACTCGTTAATAGACCAAAAATGTCTTGCCTCAGGTGTTCATCGCACTGATTTTCCTTTAAAAAAAAAAAACTAGAACAATAGCAGTGGGCGAATCACAACCCCCTTCCAGACTGCAGTCATTGATGGTCCATGGATTTCCGCCTCCACCTCTGCGTTTTCTCGGCAAACGCTCGGCGCACGACCAACTTTCACCGAGCCACGGTCAACATAAATGATGAGAAAAAAATAAAAGCGCTCGGAGTACCCAGGACATATTATATTAATGAATGTGATAACCACTAGTCGCTGATAAGTCTGTCGGATATCCCCGTCGGGCAGGGTGAGGGAAAGAAAAAATAAAAAAGTAAATAGAAAGAAGCAAAGAAAATTGCAGCTGAGGAGCTTTTATATGAGTGATATTGAATCCTCTTGGTGTTTCCCCACTGAGAAAGTAAGCAGACTCGATCTCGTTCAGGCCTCGTGCCATTCGATCAATGGGAATACGAGGATAATAATACAGAATCCAAGATCAGGAGCGCTTACTCTCCGCAATCTTCCAGCCGCGAACGCCGGGGGGAAATCAGTGGCGACACCGCATGAGGCAGTTCATATCCAGACCCAGGGGACGAGGCCCTGACTCAAACGGGAATGGTTCGGCAAACGCTCGGATTCCCCACCCTGGTTGGGCTGGAATTGGAGTCAATAATAATGGTGAGAGCAACAGATCTGCCTTGCAGTTGCATGAGACAATTTCATCATCGTCAATATTATAGTCAACTTTGTTTTTCTTTTCTCTCAGAAGATCGAAACTCAAAGAAAGCTGAAGATCGCTTGTAGATGAATACGTAACCTGTCTGAATAGCCCACCATTCAATGTCATTTGGTAAATCAAGCGTCCGGGTGCCAGTTGGGTTCCGAATCGCGGGGAGGAGGTGGTTGGTTGTTGACCAACCACGGTAGAGAGAAGTGGTAATATTAGAGTCTGATGGTCTGGACAGTTGGCAAAAGACTGAAAGTGATCTCCATCGGGTCCCCATCCACTCTCCCACATTTGTCGGACCGCGAGCCCGGTGGAAACCGGCAAAGCTTTGCTGGCTCGGAATGCTGTGATCTTCAAGAGCCGGACCGCACTTGCGTTCTGCTAGTGTCGGTTTTGTCTGGTTCATTTACATACTAGTCCTCGTGCATTCTCCATAATCACCCCGATAATCCGTGCTTGGGAGGGGGAATGGATTGCAACCATGGGCCTTGGCAGCCATCCGTGATGATATGATTAGATATGGCAATAGACGGGACACTCAACCTTGATGATACGAGAACCCCATCGTGGATCCTATCTGACTGGTTGTGTGTCTTATGGCTCGCCAATCACTTGCCCTTCTGAACACCCCTGTAAGGAGAATTAATGTACTACGGTAGGAATCTCCGGTGGAAAGAGGCCTTATTGCACCGGTGCCATTAATCATACATTAGTGGCCGCGCTGGTCGGAGTAGGTCTGCTGTGGACTTGCCCTTGGTGGAAGTTGTTCCTGCCGCCGCCAGTGCCGAGGCGTCGACGCGGGTTGTGCCAGGGGCCTGTCAGTGCCAACTTATTTTTCTCTTTTCTGATAAGGTGACAGCGGGGAGATTGATGCTGATGAGACGAAGGGGGCGGCGTCTTACTGCTATCTACTAGTACTAGCTTATAAGCAATTTAATGCTGTTACCTATTGGATACTACGTAGCCTCGACTAAACACATAAGTATCCCTCGTTCTCCGATGCAATACTCCGCCTCGGCTCAGCTAGTCATTTCTAGTATTTACCCGCGTATCTAGATAGGTAGATAGATAGATACTAACTAGTACTACTACTCAGACCACTAGTAGATGAATGGCGAATCAATCAATATAAACCAGAGATGAAACCAGTGCTGTTTGTCTTCATAGTATGTGATGTTACGAATCAGCTGCTGTCAACCGACAAGTGCCGAGGACCGGGGAAGAGAGTCACTCAAGTCGAATAACCTCAGCGGCTCCAGACTTACCATACCGGTATTACTCCAACCCACAAAACCTTCCAAAGATTCCAAGTCAACTTTTGGAAGCCCGCCGACTGTCGGCTGAGCGAATGAGCTGAGCTCACAACGGGGATTGGCCGGCATCCCAGCGCATGACCCACAATAGTCAGCCCCACCAGCCCCCCTTTTGAGCCGGTTCAATCCTCAGGCCGCACCGCGGAACATTTGTTACCAGGCCTGATACCTTCGCCATACGTACTTACATCGAAAAGTTGCTTGCTTCTGGTCGCTCTTCTTCTGCCCCGTCGGTCCTCTCCTTCATCCTCACGCCTTACAAACCCATCTTACCGCCACCACACACTCTCTCTTTGGCTCTTCCCACCTTCTCTCTCTTTCAAAAGTCCCTTAACCCCGCTGTTATCCTCCGCTTACCTTAATCTCGACACTACTTCCGCATCTCCACCCTCTCCTCTCACATAGAGAGTTACACCTAGGTTCTCCAGACCCGTCTCACTGGTGATCCCAAGGCGTTCGCATCAACTACTACTGAAACCCCCCTCGAGTGTACCGCCGAATCTACTCCCCAAGTCCGACGCCAATCCGACCCATTCTCCCAAGGCAGATGCGCCACAGCATCCAGCCAACATGCCTGGAATTCTCCCGATGAAAGTGATCAAGGTCGGGAACGGCTCTCAGAGTCGTATCGCCCAGGCCTGTGATCGTTGCAGAAGCAAGAAAATCCGTTGCGACGGTGTCCGTCCCTGTTGTACACAATGCGCCAATGTCGGCTTCGAATGCAAAACTAGCGACAAGCTCAGTCGCCGTGCTTTCCCTCGTGGCTACACCGAGTCGCTGGAGGAAAGAGTGCGCGCCCTGGAGTCCGAAGTTAGGGATCTCAAGAATCTGTTGGATGAAAAGGATGAAAAGATCGATGTGCTCTCTCGTATACACTCTTTCTCTCCTTCCTCGCGTCAGAGACCTAGTGCTGCAGCGCCGTCGCCATCTGCGCCTGCAAGGTCCAACGTTCCCGACGCAGATGAGGGTGTAATTCAAATCCCACAATCGTTGCCGCCTACCGAGTCGACCTCGACTGATAGTGCAGGAATTTGTAGTACTCGCGGCTTTGTTGGTATGTTTCACCGTCCCTACTTGCTCACTTCCTTCTTGGGATCCATCCCATACAAACCCCGAAACGAGTTGAAGGGGTTTTTGAGAAAAGGCTCACGGCTAACCCCGTTAGACGTCTTCACAAATAAACTCATAGATCAAAACCGATTGCCGTCAAATGTCGCGATCAAGTCTTTGGCCGCTCCCCCGGCCATCTCCCATTCCCGCGTCGACCAGGCCATTCGCACGGCGCCCCGGCTTGTATCCGATCAGCTCATCAACATCTTCTTCCAAGAATGGGCTCCTCTTTATCCGGTTGTTCACCGACCCACTATTCTCAAAGCTTATGAACAGTACCTTTCAGGCACCGGGTCTATGCAGGGCAGCAAGCACGACTTGGCACAACTAAATTTGATCTTCGGCATCGCCGCCCTTGCTTCAATGGTAAGCTTTAACCCTAATCTAGCCAGACCATACCGGAAACTCATTGGGCTTTTGCAGTCGAGAACCAACCAGGACCCCACCTTTTTCGAAGACAATTGGTCCTCGATCCTTGAATCCATTGCCAGTGATGTATCTATTGCAACAATGCAATGCTACGTGCTCGCTCAAATGTACTGCATGACGAAGGGTGACTACACGAGCCTCCTACGCTATCGGGGTCTTGCCGTCAGTCTTAGTCAACAGCTTAGACTGCATCAGAGCCAGAAACGCTTCTCGTCGAATGCTCTCATGGCAGAAACCCGAAAGAAGGTGTTCTGGTGTCAATATACTCTCGATCGGTGAGTCGGCCCTCTCAAGGCCTTCCATAACGTATTTCTTTTTTAACCCATTTCCAGATTCACCGCTGCTTTGACAGGATTGCCTGTTCTACTGCGTGAAGAGGACATCAAGACCGAGTATCCCGAAGATATTGATGATGAAAACGTCACGGAATCGGGCTTCTTGCCCACTCTTCCTGGAGAGTCTACCCGTATTTCGAGTGCGATCGCGCTATTCGCCGGTTCGCGCGTGTTGAACAAGGTTTTGGAGGATATCTATCCCTCTGATGGAGGGTATGATATCTCTCTGTCGAAGCTACGCTCAGTTGCAGAGCAATTGGATGATTGGGTGAAGGGCTTACCTGCTCACCTCCGCCTTGAGTTTTCTCAGGACAAGCCTAGCACCAATGTCACTAGTAGCCGATCGCCCCTTCTGGTAACTACCGAAAGCGCTCCTCGATCATCACATGCGTTTACTGACTTGTTTCTAGTCCCTCGTCTACTACTTCATTCGTTCATTGATCCACCGCCCTGCGGTCTGCTTCGGCGAGGAGCACGTCCGGTCCCCTTCTATCCTTGCAGTTTCCGACTCAGCCAAGCACATTATCCAGATCCTTCAATTGCTCGATGAGAGACGTCTCTGTCTCTCTGTGAGTATCAATCGGAAGGAGTTGGTCTTCGCTACAGGACTAGGCCTTCTTTGGCAAAGCATCGGGCTGAAGCGTGACAGCAAGCTCGTCAAGGAGAGCCAAAAGTTGCTCACCGCAGTCATCGATCAACTGGAATCTGAGTCGTCGTCCTCTGCTGCAGAGTTCAGCGCTTTGGCCAGTGTTTTCGTTTCTTTGAACAATAGCAGGCATGTGTCGATTGGCAAACCGCAGGACATGTCGCCGCCCTTGCAGAGACCTTTGAAGTCCCCGAAGAAGCAACTTCAGTCGTGGAAGTCGCGCCTGAGTGAAATGACCGGTTCAAACCACCACGAAACGCCGGATTCGCCCTCCCGGAGGGCCACTATTTGCGGAGCGAGTCCCAATGCCGCCCAACGCCACATCAGGTCCTCCAGCTGGGCTAGCTTGCCACCAGACAACTTCCACGCGCTAGATGTATCTACGAACAAAACAGTCTACCCTTCGTCTTCCGGCGCGTACGATAGCAGTCATGTGCTTTCGAGCTCCGCACCCTCGGATCATCCGGGCGGACCTATCACGGTATCCGACTGGGAAGTCGTCCTGAGTGACATGGACCGCGGCTATTCGAACATCTTCACGGGGATTTATGGGGGAAGGGAGTGTGGTGAAGACAGTGGTCCCTTCGCTTCCCTCACTGCTGAGTTCGCCCACAAGGGGGATCCCATGGTAGCACCGTTGTCAGCGCCACACGCAGAGCTGCAAGGGTTGTCTCCCGAGGCATGGTCAGCCAGTAGCAATAGCGACGTGCCAACCAACCAGGATCTACCGGCACAGAGTGTCCTCAGCTACTCCGACGAAGGCAGTGCCGAAGAAGGGGTGCCATACAACGATCTGCGGCTGTCGCCGGAAGAGCAGGCCAATTTCTTGGGCTCGTTCCGGAATGTCATGATTCCGGCTGTGGAAGATGAAGTGGATGAGTTTGGACTGATTAACGGCTGGGATCGGCGACTGGCTGTCTGAGCTATCATGCTCGGAAGACAAGCCTTTTTCATGAACGCAATGACCTTTGGGTGTCAATGGAGTTTCTTCTGTTATTGGGATTGTAAGGGTGGAGCGAGAGGAAGTCTGTATTTCTTTTTCCTTGTTGTTTCCCCCCATCTGTTTCGTTTGTGATACCTGGTCGGTGCATGGAGTCTCGGTTTCCATTTGGCACTTTACAAAGAGTGTCTGTCGGGGGTCATATCATGACCCTTTGTCCCTATAATGTTTGAGTATATAGTATCTTGAATGATGGATCTTCAAGTATGTCTGTTGTTAGTAATCATATCCCTGTGAATCGGATGATTGCCGCGTCTTGCAATTCAGTTCAAATGTTGCCTGCTTCAACCTCCTGGGTTCAGGATGTAACGACGGTAGCCATTGCTTGCTCCCTACCATAGAAATCCCAGACTCACATGAATTGAATCACATGCACCTGCCAAGAGATAGTATGGTCATCCCTCACATGATGATTGTAGAGCAAGCGCATAGTCTTAGTAAAGTACTCCTGCATACTTCGAACCAGACGCATCTGACTGCAAACGACTGAGCAGAGCGAGCCTACCACTACTAAGTATTTACACATGCGTCTCTCAGGCCCTCCCACCATCCCCGGTCCGAGCATCAATCAGAGGCAGAAGAGTCCCGAGCGCATTCCCCGAACGGCACACGGCTTGGACTAATCGGGGAAGCCGTTCGATCTGAGCGGCCCTGACTGAACCT